GCGATAAATGGTGACGGAAGAGACTTGGGGGAGGTAGGAGAGGGTAAAGGGGCGATAAATGGTGACGGAAGAGACTTGGCTTTGGGTAGTGAACACACAATACAATATACAGATGATGTATTGTAGAATTGTATACCTGAAACCTATATAATTTTATTTAACTAATTTCCCCCCAATAAATTCAATAAAAATAAATAAATAAATAAAAAAGGAAGGGCCATAGACATTTTGTTTACATACAAAATGTTTTGTCTTTGCCCTCTTGTGACTATCGCCTGTGACAAAGTTTCCCTTTATCTTTGCAGATCCAATCTCCTTGGCCGGGCGCTGGCCATGTGCTGGTGTCAGAAGCACACGGCTACCTAATCACGTTCACCATCGGAAGACCCGTGTGGGGCACTTTCTACCCCGACTCAGCGGTGCTCAGTCACTCTCACTGTGTCGCCGGGGCTCTGGCGTTGTACGTCCCATGACTCCCGGCCGGCTTCGAGTCAGCACATTCTGCTGGGGAAGAAAGGCTGGATCCTGCCTGCCTAACTCGTGTGCTGCAAGTGCTCTCTGCTGTTTTTCTTCCCCCGTGGCGCCCACTCAAAACAAACCCTTACCAGCTTCAGCACTGGGGCTGTGTGATGCCGCAGGGGTCACCTCCAACATCTTCACAGCAGGCGCTGAGGGAGGACCTCTTATTTCTGGCAGGACCATCTGTCACAGACTGAGGGTGTGGGGGGAAGGGGACTGGGGGGTGCCAGCTACACCAGTCCCAAGACTGGGATGAATAAGGAGGGTGTTTATTTCTGTTTTCATGAGGATTCGATTTTTAGAGAAGACACTGCAGTATTAACTCTTAAGTGAGAAAGTGAGACAGATGGAAAGAAAATGTTTGGTTTTGAGGCAACAGAATGTCAAACTTCATAGAATACGCTTAAATATGACAACATTTAAGTCTCTTCGAGGTTCAGTTCTCTCTAAATCTAAGGCAGTGTTTTCAAACGAATACAGGTATTTCCACATAGATTTCTTTTCAGTCTAAAACCAAGTTTCTCCTTCCCCATTTTTGGAAACAACAACAGCTAACACTGATATAAATAGTACTTACTATGTGTCTAGCTCTATTCCAGGTGCCTTACACACACACATATATATACATATTAACTCATTTAATCTTCCTAACAGTGCTATGAGGTTGATACTATTATTGTCCCCATTATACAGATGAGGAAACCATGGCACAGAGTGATTAGGTAACTTGCCCGAGGATACACAGCTAGTAAGTGGAAAAGCCAGAACTCGAACCAAACCATCAGGCTCTGGCTCCATGCTAGTCCTCCGTCGTGAGTAGCATTACTAAGTCAGAAACTGAGGGTTATCTTTGCAACTTCAGCTCCTGGAAACAACTTTTAGGCCAGAGCTCTGACACTCTGATTTCATCGGACCAGCATGTCTCATAGCACCCTGTTCTTTCCTTCAAATGTGTATTTCATGTCATGACTACAGATGTACTGGATTGCTGACTATTAACAATCAGATGGAAAGTTTCAGAACAGGGGCTGCATCTGTTTTGTTTCCCCAGTAGTATCTTGAACCTGTTCAATAAATATTAGTTGACAAACATTCCTACCCTCTTCTGCTCAGTGCTCTCCTCAGCCTCCTTGGTCGGCCCCCCTGGAGGTTCACTTCCATACCCCTCCCGCCATCCCTTCTGCCTGCACTTTTAGAAGCCTCTGAACTGTCTCACTGCCTCCGCTCTTGCTTGTCTTCTGTGCTTATTTCAATGTGTTCTTGTGCAGCAGTCGCAGTGTGCTTTATAAAGGCAGATCTGATCATGTCACTCTCTCCTACTGAAACCCTTCAGTGGCTTCTGTTTGCTCACAGAATAAAGACATTTCCCCTCCGTGGCTCTGCCAGCTCTGGTCTCCCTGCAAGAAAGTGGATTGCTGGGTAGGATGGACATTTATTCTAGGGCTCAGGGAACAGGAGGGAAAGCACAGCCCTGGGGCCCTCAACAGGATGACTGCGACAGCACAGCCCTTGCTCTGGAATCTGACAGTTGGGGCTGGAGTCTGAGCTGGCCCAGGGCTGAGCAATGCTTTCAACAACCTCTCTCCAGAGAGCCAAGCTCTTCAAATAGCCTCGGTATTTATACATTCGAAGGGTGGTCAATCTCTCCTTCCCCTGGCCTAGTGCAAGGGACCCCTGCTGGGCCCGTGGTGACTCCAGTTCTAACCTCAACCTTAGTGGAAACTTCTTGTTCTAACATTGCTGACCTCAGGAGGCCTCCTTCACTGGGAAGGTCTGTGTCTTTGCTGCTCTTTCCATGGGATCTCCAGGAAATGAGGATTTGGTCAACCTCCACAGATAAACAGAATCCAGCACCTCCTCACCCATCCACTGCCACCCCCCTCTCAAAGCCTCCTCCCTTCTGTCCTGAAGCCTCCCCCAGCACAGCTGCCCCCCCAGCACAGCTGCCTCCCCCAGCACAGCTGCCTCTCCCCTGGCACAGCTGCCCCCCTCAGCACAGCTGCCTCCCCCAGCACAGCTGCCTCTCCCCTAGCACAGCTGCCTCCCCCAGCACAGCTGCCTCTCCCCTAGCACAGCTGCCTCTCCCCTAGCACAGCTGCCTCCCCCAGCACAGCTGCCTCTCCCCTAGCACAGCTGCCTCCCCCAGCACAGCTGCCTCTCCCCTGGCACAGCTGCCTCTCCCCCAGCACAGCTGCCCCCCTCAGCACAGCTGCCTCCCCCAGAACAGCTGCTCCTCCCAGCACAGCTGCCCCCCTCAGCACAGCTGCCTCCCCCAGAACAGCTGCTCCTCCCAGCACAGCTGCCCCCCAGCACAGCTGCCCCCCAGCACAGCTGCCTCTCCCCTGGCACAGCTGCCCCCCAGCACAGCTGCCCCCCAGCACAGCTGCCCCCCTCAGCACAGCTGCCTCCCCCAGAACAGCTGCTCCTCCCAGCACAGCTGCCTCCCCAGCACAGCTGCCAGGGCAATCATCTCACCCATGAGGCAGGGCAGATCTCTGCTCTGCTATAAATCCTCCCCATCTCGCTCTAAGTACAAACCACAGTTCTTCAAATGTCCAGGGCCAACCTGATTTGGACTCTTTCCTTTCTGGTCTTAACTTGACCACAGTTACCTCTCTGTCCCACCACCCTGGCTTCCTGTGGCTTCTCTGACTCCGAGGGTGGGCAAGCTGCACTCCCACGGTCTGCTGGAACCTTCTCCAACCCCCACCCCCCCAGAACCCCACTCTCACCTCCTCCAGGTGTTTGCTCAAACCTCCCTTCTCAGGGGTCTTACGTGGCTTCCCACTCTACAGTCACCCCCCAACCCCCACACTCCCCACGCCCTCTCCTGGCTCTATATTAATTTTCTTTAACACCATGTAACAGACAATCTATTCTACTTATTGATCTTATTGATTGTTCATCTTCCCAGATTAGAATGTGATGGCAGGGATGTTGTCAGCTTTTTCATTTCTGGGTTTCCAGCATCTGAACAATACCTGCCACATAAATATGCGTTACCTGAATGAACGAACCTTTTCTTTTCTGCCCTCACTGGGTTGTGGGCTGCATGCTAAGCACATTTCTGCAAAGCCAGAGATCTCAACCCTTATGGAAAACCACACCTTTCCCACCTGCCCCACTCCTAGTGCTAGCAAGTGGCTCCTCACCTCAGCTGCCCCTCATACTACTCACTGCTGAATCCTTAGGACCGGTCACATTTCTGGGGGCATCCCAGGATAAACCAAATGTCTCTACACTGATGGTCATCATTATTCCACGCTGATGTTCATTCACAGTGGTAATTATTATCCAGCACGTAACAATCCATTGCTGCTCCGTAATTCTGAGGACTGAGCTGACTGGGACCGAGTTGCCCACTGTCAGAGGCTGCTCCCTGGGACTGTGAGCATGAAGGCTGTGCCAAGTGCAGAGCCCTCAACGATTCTCCCCCTCTCCACTGGTTCTCACTTAACTTGCTTTGGGATTAAGAGCAGAGGTGCTGGAAGCAGTTACTGTGCTGTCTGGAAGAATTTCCTAGTAGTTCTTCTAGCCCAGGGCCTGCTGAAGTGAGCTGGAGCAGAGCCAAGAAGTTGAAAATGAACAAGAGGGTACAATGGAGCCTCCAACCTGCACAGCGGCTGAGAGCCAGGCCTTCCTAGGAGCCTCCTGAGCAGCCTCTACCCCCTGTGCTCAAGCTTCCACCATGCCACGTGCCAACTTTCTCTAGCAAATCTGTCCAGGCAGGTCTTCTCCACGGCTCCCCAGGACTGGAGCTCAGAGCCCATAGAGCTTGCCCTAGCCCATCCCCCAGCCTCCTGCCTGGCCCTGCAGGAGCCCCTGCTCCTCACTGACCCCTGGACACACCTGATATCTTGGAGCATCTGAGCCTTGGCTTGGGTGATGGCAAAGCTGCTGCTCACAGCAGGGCCAGGAATCTCTTGACAATACCAACCACATCTTGGTACTCATCCTCCAGCCCCTGGACAGGAGACCCTGACAGTTGGGGCCCTACAACCTGAGGGCAGCCCTCAAGGAGGACTGGATGCTGCCATTCCATCCAAATCATTCCAGCTATTCCTCTAGCCTGGAACACCAGGGGCTGACATCACTCAGCTGATGTTCAATCAAACACAGTTTCTGGGCAGAAGGCGGCATGAGAGGGCAAGGAACGAACTGACCCTGGAAATGACCTGGGGCATGGCAAGTCCAGCCAGCACACAGCCCACGGAGTGCCCCACCCAGGACTCCGGCTCCTGCCCCATCCATCAGTCTGCATCAGAGCATTCAGTTCCCAGGGAGTTCCAGGGAGATAAACCATTGGCAGTACCAAAAAGCATGCCCTTGGCCCCAAAACACAGCAACTTCCAGGCAAGGGCCGAACCAACCTTGCCTGCAAAGATGCAACACTTTATAGCCACCGAATACACTGTAGCCCATTCAAAATGCAGGGACAGAGATAAGCAACAAGGAAAATAATGAACGAGTTGTCAAAATACCCATTTTTCCTCTTTTTCCATTAGCTCCTTTTTCGCCTTTTGGGCCCTGGGGACCAGGTTGTCCATCGGATCCGTTATACCCTGGTAACCCATCAACTCCTGGAGGTCCTGCATTGAAACACAAGAAACAAGAACATTTAAAAAATCTCTTAACTGAAGCTAAGGTGACTTCCTTTAGCCAGTGAAACTGGGCCGGCATCAACGCCTCTCCCAGATCCTTTCCTGCGTCTTCGCTTCCTTCTCTACCTTTGCTGCCCTCACCCTCCCCTGAGGCAGTGACAGGTAGGGAATGGCGATGGTGGGTTTTCAAGGGGGAAGGGCAGGAGAGCTCATGATTGAGGTAGAGAGAAGGGGGGACACAGTGATAGTTGGGGTTGGATCTAAACTCTTCCTCTTCCCTCACCTCAGTCCCTCTGAGTGATCCTGGGGAGTTAGCCACCCATATTTCCCCCTATGAACTAGGAAAGGCCATGGGCTCTTACCTGGTGGGCCAGGTGGTCCTACAATAGAAAAAGAAATTTAAATGATCAACTATAGGTGGAAGAAAGCAAAGCCAGCTCCACACCCAAAAAACATCTTCCCCCTCTTAAAATGTACTGGCAAGGAACCATCCCATGCCTTTTATTTAGAACTCAGTATATTTACCCAAAAGAGTCTTAAAATGAATTCAACACAGGCCCATTTGCCAATCAAAACCACTTCAGTTTAAGTTTCAATGGGCCAAGAATAATTTTATTGATTCAGAAATCAGTCATCTCTCAAGCAATCAACTTCATTAAATGAGGCTGGGTGACAATACAGGTAGGCACCACAGCCCTGGCCCAGGTAAGCGTCAGCAAATGGCAGTGCTGTCAGTGCAGGGCTGAGGTCTGGCTGTCATGAGAGCAGTCCCAAGGGCTTGCATCCAGCCAGTTTGTCTCCTGTAGGCTGCCAAGAGGAATTGAGAGCAGAAGCTGGTTCACCAGGTCTCTATTTTGTTGCATGAAATAGCCTGAGACAAACTGAGAGCCTAGGTCCTTAGTGTGTAATTACCCAGAAAATCTAAGGGGGTTCAGATGAATCATTTACACATAATCTAACAAAAAGATTTTGCTTCCACAAATAGGAGAGTCTTATAATCAATTATTCTATCTGAGCACTCAGACAAGCTAGTGAGGTTGTAGCAGGAGCAGATGAGGTCCTTCTGCTTCTCCAGACTGCATGTAATGATTACCAATACTGCAGTGGAAAGATTTCCATGAATCCAAGCTTGTGACCTTTCTGAAAAATCATCATTTACTAAGCACTTACTACTTGCACCCAAATTCACTAAGCAGCAGCAATCTTGGCCCCTGTGTCTGTTGTGTTTACAAACTACCTGGGGAGGGTAGATACTTTGCAATCACAATGCAATGTGAGGGAGCTACAGAGAAGCAACCCCCCAAAGGGTCCTGGGGCAGTAGTCTGAGCACACGGCTGTCTAGGCGGCCTCCAGAGAGGGTGAGCCTCGAGCTGGGGCACTGAAGACACAGTGGGCCTGAGCTGGCCGCAGGGGTGAGGCCTGGACATCCTAAGAAGGGGACCAGCAGGAGCAAAAGTACAGAGGTGGGCACTTGCATGATTCAGGGTGAGAAAGGGGAAGACTGGTGAAGCTGGTGTGTGGAAATGGGGCTGAGGAAGCACTTGGTGGGGCAGGTGTGGGGCCGCAGCCCTTGACCGCCCAGCAGAGAGGTGTGGACGGTAAGAAAGCAGGGAGCTGCAGCAGATTCTTAAGCAGGGGAGGGAGGTGACACCGTGAAGTCGGTGCACTTGAGATCTCCCGTGTAGACTGAAGATGGAAGTCGAAGAGAACTTGGGAACACGATGAGAAAGAGAAAGAGGGGAGGCAAAGAGAGGGTGGGGGGAAATACCCAGAGGGTCGCTGTAGTTAAAATTAGGGGCAAGGTTACGGATAAATGTGGCTGGCGACTGCAGAGTTGCCAAGAAAGCTAGAATTTCCAGAGGTGTTTCAGCAGAACGAGCGGGGTTCAGTGTCTGGTTGGGTAGGAGGCAAGGAAGGCCTAGGGTAGTAACAGAAAGAGGCTATTTTACATACATGGGACTCATGGAAGAACACGTGTCTGAAGCTATGCTTTCAATACATATAGTCCTACTTCGGGCAAAAATGATTTGCTGAAAGAGGCACCACATTCTGTAGGATTAGTATCACCTGTACTACATGACTTTACCACAAGATGGGGTACACACACACACGTGAAGGGGTGACCTGGACAGCCTACAGAGGTCCGAAGAACTCAGTCATCATTCCTGACTGCAGATTCAGCCAATTTGGATGTGCAGATTGGCAGGGAAAAAAGTAAGAATCACCTGTATATAATCGTATTCAAAGTTCCCAGGTCAGTCTCATAACCACTTCCACACAGTGGGACTACTGGAGAGAGGTCCTGGCTAGAGCCATATATTTAGGACACATTAGCCATGGCCAAGGGTGTCACCAGACTGAAGTGCCTAGATTAGGGTTTCCTGACAAAAGAGCCATGGACACCCTATGGCTACAGTTATTAGTCATTTGTGTCCACAGAATCACCTGGAACGATTGTTACAACGCAGCTACCTGGGTTCCATCCGGAGATTTGAATATAGTTTGGATATAGAGGCCCAGGAACCTGGATTTTTACCAAGCATGACAGGTGACTGGGATGCAGATGGTCCTGGGTGCCCTTCCCTCCCCCCATACCTGATGTGAAAATTTTCTGGGAAAAGAATCAGTCACTATCAGCAGATCCTTGAAGGGGTCCCTGACCCTAGAAAGGTTGAGAGCTATTAGTTTTGATGAAAGGGAAAAATTTCTGGGCCAGCCTAATTTTGGGGTGGGAGACACACCCCATCTGGGGGGAGGCAGGTGATAGAAGAGGCACCAGGAAAGAGAGAGAGTGATCTGAAAGTGTAGGTGGCAATCCAGCAGTTGCCCTGCCCTGAAGCTATTTGGAGAAGAGAATTTCAGAAGAGAGAGAAAGATGACAGACAGTTCCAAAGAGCCCAGAAGCAGAGGGCTCTAGTGACAGTGGGCCTCTGTCCCCCTGTCTTCTCAGGACGCCAACTGAGCTGCCCAACAGCTCCTTATGCCTGGAAAGAGCTCAAATATGAGGCATTATGATAATGTCAAATGTCACATTATCTTATGTGCCAACTGGGCATTTAGAATACTGTTTCTCAGCTCCTGACGCTTCTTTTCTGAATTACAGACCCTCTAGGAATACCTGTGGGCAGGGACACTCTTGCTAACACTGTACCAGGGCTGGTTTCCTGGGCAGGCCCTCAGAGCAGTTGACAGGGCCCCATACTCAGAAGGGCCCTGTGCTTGGGTGCAATGCTCTGTGGTTGCCATCTAGAAATTCTTAATAATTTTACCTTTGAATCTGTGGTTTGTAAATGAAGTCCAATGGGACAATGGCACATGTCCCAGGGACTTGGAGCCTCGATTTGCATGTGGTGCCACTTCCCCTGGCCTCACTGCCTCCCCAGGACAGGTTTTCTGCCTGCTCCCTGCCCCTTGATGTATGTGTGTTCTCCCCACTCCCTGCCCCGTTGGTGACTGCTGCCACCTTTCATCCCAGTGGGGACCTGGGCGTGAGTGCAGGGAAGGCTGGGGATAGGTGTGTGTCCCACATGCCTGTGTCACAGGGTGAGGCCCCCTGTCCTTTGAGGATCTGTACTCACTAGGTGAGTAACCCACACCTCAGGGAGTCTGACATTAAATAGCAAACAACAAAAGCCCCACCATGGCAGGTTGTAGGTGAGACTGTGGAAGAAAGGAGGAAAGTTTTTTCCTGCCTTTCGAACAAGGGCCCCTGTATTTTCACTTTGCACTGAGTCCTGCAGAGGTTAGGCTGGGGCACAGTGAAGGACGGGGTATGGCCAGTGGGACCCATGGGGTCGGGAGTAGTGAGATGCTTCCAGGCCTGGTCTTTGAAAGCACCTTTGGTCCTCTCTTTGCCCCTTGGGGGAAACCTTGGTGCCTGCTGTTGAAATGATGGAGCCACAAAATGGTAGCAGCTTGGATCCCTGAGTCACCAGAACTACCTCGAGTCAGCCCAACATTGCTGGACTTGGTGGAGAAATAAGCCTGTTCTGTGCTAAGCTACTGAGACTTTAGTTTGTTACCAGAACATGGGGTAACCTATCTTGACAAATACACCCCTCTATCCTTGTAATTTGTAACCCCCCATCTCTTTTTCTCCAAATAAGCTCTAGAGGGTTCCTGCTACTAGCAAACAGAAGAATCTGAATTGACAGAGGAAATATAGGCACCACAGTTCCAGGCAATGAGTGATAAACAAGTATAAGGCTCAATTCCTGTCTTCAATGGTGGGCACTGATCTGTGGCTAAAGCTACAGGTTTCTGGAAAGCCCATCCACCTGGCTTCTCCCACCACAGTCAGTCCAAATCACAGGGAAGGTGCCTGTCTCTAACTTCCCATTAGTATCTCCCCTCTCACCCTGGGACGGCATCAGAACAGGTGCTGCATGACCCAAGGCACCTGCTGAGCACAGCAATGACCCAGGAAGTGACTACACATTTCCCAAAGTCTTGCTGATAAAGGGGAAAAAGAAGCAAAAAACCCTCAAATAGAAACATTTTAGAAAGTGAGGTCTGGTTCTGCTCCTGCTTTAGGAAGAGCTGGTGAAAGATGCAGCTTCCTAAACCTGATACTGCCAGGCCTGGAGCACATCTGAGAGCTGAGGTCTGCATCCTGATTCTCTTCCACTCTTACCCCAGCAAGCACCCCCGGGGCTCGGGATTCATGCCAGCCACAACTTCAAGCCAGCCAGGAGCCCTAGCCAAAGGACGGGTGGTCTCCCTTCCCTCTGGGAGTCATACATGCATGATTCTCCTGAAGGGTCCCAAGCTCTCACACTTGGAGCCGAATCCAACCCAGCTAGTTTGCTTAGGGAGGCCAGTGAATGAAACATGATCAGCGGCACTAGCTAAGAATGACCTGCCCATCCATTTACCAAAGGCTGCACTGGCTACAGCTTTGAGGCCTCAGTTCCCACTCTGTGAGTGCTGGTACACCCTCCAGAGCTACCTGTCACTTGCTATGGGGCGAGTCCTAAGGCACCTGACTTGGAAAGGTTTCTTTCCTCACATGCCCCCATTAAACTGCAGCTTTGTATTATAGAACCGTACGCTTGATACCTATATAATTTTATTAACCAATGTCACCGCAATAAATTCAATAAAAATTTTAAAAACCCACAAAACTGCAGCTTTCGTCCAATTTCATCTATTTGGTGCATTTCAACTTTGAATGATGGCAACCTTAAAAAAATTAAGAGTAGGGATGGCAAATAGGTTTTATTTCAAGTGCCAATTCTAACCAATTAGTTGTTTGCTGGAGCACCAGGAAAGAATGACATGAGGCCATGCTCAGCTGCAGCTGGGATCCATTATTGATTGTCTGCCTGGCTATAGGATAAAGGGTAGTGACACGTGTCATCATTGGGTTGGGGTCACTGGGCTGCAAGGAGAATGAACACTGGATTAGAAGTGTGCCTGCCCTGACAAGCGATTCAGCAATGCGATGGTGTAGAGATTTCCCAACGAGTCCATATGGGGGGCCAGGGGGAGAGGGGACTAACCCAAGAACCTGCCTTCTCCAAGACCCCTGCTCTGCCAGAAGATATGCTTCCGGGGTCCCAAGGAAATCTGGGCTCAGGGGTAAGATGCATCCAGAAAAGCCTACATGGTTTGACAAACTCTGTACTGGCAAACCCCCCTAGTTACTGTAGCTAGTGAATTGCACTCATGTTCACCTGAGATGTCACAGGCTCCACTAAACTACCCAGCATCTATCCCTGTCCCCATAGCAACCACAGCTGAGTTCAGGAAAAGGAACAGGAAAGCAGTCTCATGGTCGCAGCTGGACCAGGCTCATGTCACAAGCACCTGCTTTCTCTAGGATGAGCCCAGTGTAAAGCTAGATCCCATTCTCAGGCCCCAAGCCCAGGGTCTGCCCTGGCGATGCTTCCTGCCCGCATCCCCTTGGCCTGGACCAAGGCTCCCTCCCCTCCCCGTGAAGCTGCCAATTCAGTCCTGGGTCCTGTGACCTTCCCACCCCCAACCCAGGCAGCGTGGCCTATCCCAAGGCACCACCTCACCCTGGAACTTGTGCTTTTCGCACCGAAGTTTTAACAGAAGAGCTTTCTGCATGAAAGAAGGCCCAATTTGAAGCTGGTGTGAAAGGAGGTTTTGAAAAGCATTTGGAGGTGCCAAAGAATAACCTCAACCTGCTCCTGCGCGGATGCGCTCCCCCCTGCCGTCCATCTCCCCTAAGTGGTCTCAACAGCTCCCTCCTCGCACATTCACCTAACAGTAGGGCCCTCCTCTATCACTATAAAAATCAGAAAGGAAGAGGCCTCTCCACGGGGCTTTTGTGCCTGTGAATCTATCCATCTGAGCATTTCTCCAGCACTCATTACTGTCACACGTGGGAACTCTGAAAAGGGGCTTCCAGAGAGGGAAGAAAGGCTTAAGCCACAAGAGTTTCAGAAAAAAGGACCAAGCTGTTCTGAAGATATTTAATTTTCTGTGAGGGCTGAAATGTGACTTGAGTAATTCAATTAGCACTTCCCAAGCAGCCACCAGATCACGGCTTTTCTCTTGGAGGCCAAACCCAGTGAATGAGAGTCGGACAGGGACTCGGGGTTCCTCGGGGAAGCATCTTTCTTACCAG